AAATCAAGCAAAAAGTATTTGTACACTTAATGTGGAAAAATAAATAAAACAAATAGACAGGTGAATATCGTGAGTGCTGGTCTGTTCTCGTGATTCTCGTGATTGCCTTCAACTCCATCTCGATAGATTGAACACCATGTAAGTGATTTGTATATTGTATTTGTCAATAATTTATTTCATATTGAATATCATATTTGAGCCAAAATAGTTCAATATTTCACAATTTAACCTTAAACAAAAGATTGACAATTTTAGTAGCTTTACAACACTTTACAATGTCCATCGCCATTTTTCTGCGGTCAAAATAAACAAAAGAAGACAATGTGTGTACAATGTATATTTAATAAAATTAAGGACATTAACAAATAAATTGTTTATGTAACATTATTGTCATTTTCATGCATAGACGAAGTGCAGAGTTTATTAAATTTAAACCTTCATGCCTCCAGATGAGTCAAAATATTTCAAGAAAATCAAGCTCGAGAAAATGTTCTAATAATTTACATGTTATGTGCGATTAATGACTGATTTTGCGGTACATGTTACAATCACCATATTTGTAAGTATTGCGCCTGATTTTGTAATCTTAACTTTGTATAATCAGAACTTATTAATCACAGAACATATAGAAAGAATAGGTTGAAAAATGATTTTTATAGGAGACTATGACAAAAATTTATAGAGAATGATATTGCTGATTATACAAAACAAATATAAAATTGCTGATACCAGAAAAGGAGAAGATATTGGTGATACAGAACAAATTTAATGAAAAAATGACAATGACATGGCCAATACAAACAAATAGATAAAAATATTTCTGATACAAAACAATTGGAAAATGATATTTCTGATAAAAGCAATAAGAGAATGATATCTCATACAAATCAAATAGAGAATGATATATTTGATACAAAACAAAAAGAGAACAATATATTTGCTGATACAAAACAAATGCTGATAGAAATAGCGGATGACATTGCCGATAAAAAAAACAAATAGTGAATAATATTGTTGATGATACAGAACAAATGTAGTTTTTATTGCTAATTATACAAATCAAGTATAGTACAATATTGCTTGATTAATGAAACAACTTTACACACTATCCTATATAACATAAATTAGAATGAAGTATATAACACAACATATTTTTATTTCCTCAGCAAACTGTAAGGTTGGCAGGTATGTGACAGAAGTCAAGCAGGTTATTTTAAGGTTGTCAAGGTGGAATCCAGAGATGTTAAAGTATGTTGTCCATGTTGCAAGAAGTATTGTCATGCCGGAAACAGAAAAAGTGACGGAACACCGTTTTGTACGTGCAATTACCCAGAAAGTATAATAAGTAACATTTCATCTACAATCTTTTATAGTCAATTAGTGTTTATAACATTATGGTATTCAAAGAAATAACACGTTGCAGAAAATAGCTTAAATATAGATACGTGTTTGGTTCTTAAACAATGCCTCTATTGACGTGTCCATTTATGTAATTATGCATATCATTTTTTTTAAATTTTAGAAATAAAAGGAACTTGCTGGAAAGGACCGCAATGTGAACCATGTTTAAACGGAGCAAACAAAACATATGTTGGAAGCATCAACAGTATTCCAGTCTGTTGTGCGCATTGTGAGAGGTCTGGTCTAATGCTTGGCGGAAAATTGTGCAGTTGTCTACATAATGGCCCATAAACATTGCAAATGTTTGAATGATATTGCAAATGAAAGTAGACCCTAACTCTGTACTTTTCTTGATTTGTTATAAAACTAAATCGTTTCAGCAATTGAAAAAATACAAGACGAGTATATATTGAATTATTTATTTGTCGTTACAATGTACTTTTGTTTGTTTGTTTAAGATATGACTTTATTAAAAGAAAATGTGAATATAACGTTGTTGTTCATTATGATAACACGCCTATATACATGTAGCTAATAGCTTTTTAAATAAAGAAAATAATAAATAAAATATTCAGATAGTTGATCACTAAATGAACATTGATAATCAACTAATAGAACAAAAGAGGACATTTAAAATGACTTAAAATATCGCTTTATAATACTATTTGCACACACCACATGTCATGTATTGAACATTTCGCATAATGCCGTACTCTCATATATCTATGTATTTGAGATGATAAAGTACTGTTCTGTCGAAAAATAACTAAAAGAAATTCTTTAAGTTTTCACAAGGTTAAAGATTTTATTCTGTAAGGTTTTTTTGATATGCGAAATATTTTATAAAGAACACAGGCAAGTAAGAAACATGAGCGTGAGGTATTCAATATAGGTATCAGAATATTAACAGATTAAAACTTGCATCCCCGTAAAAGGGCTATAATAAATATGATTCACCTCATAATTAAAATGCAATGTTATTTACATTAGACTTGTATATATTCAAAAATAATTAATAATACAAAAAATGATAACACTTAATATAAAAAATGATAACACTTAACGTAAGACTATAACATTCTTTGCTGTACATTTAACTTGAGCAAATTTTGATGAACAAGTGTAAGTCTTAAGGTTTTATAAATAAAGACAACGATTAAATGTTGGTAGGCTGTGCAGTGTTACGCATATTATGTCTAAAATACAATATATTACTGATGCCACGAATCTCTCTGCATGCACCCTTTTCACCTGATAATGTCATGGTTTGTTCATGTCTTGAGTAAATAAAGATATTTAAATAAATAAGCGTGTAAGACTGTACAACGGTTGAAAAATCTTATGATCTAAATCAACTTCATAATTTGTAAAATACAAATAAATAAAATTTAAAATATTACAACAAACAATCGATAAAGAGATAAAAAAAAAAGCACGCATATACACGTTAAAAGGTTAAAACAGATGATTAAATATATTTCTGAAAAATTATATTACATTCTTGGATAAGATAAAGTTAGAATCTCAAATATAAAGTTATTGTCAAGACAAAATCATAGATCCGGATAATAATAACTTGAGCCAGTAAATTAAGACATGTTAAGAAAACAAAAACAACAATCAATTTTTATAACATCATCAACAAGTTAAAAAAAGTCATAAAAATATAAAAAATTAAACATGCAGGCACATTTACACCCCAAAAAAGATACACAACACCAATACATTTATATTCTACTGCTCAATATCATATAGCAAACTTATATATTAAAGGCACAAAGTCACACAAATACTGAACTGTGTGTTTTTTATATTAAAATTGTACAATATTAAAGATAGCTTGAAAATAATAACTAAATGATTCTCCTACTACAATGAGATGTATTTTGTGCATTGTAATTGCACGAGTTGGAAACTTATCTGCTCATCGAGATCACCAAACGTTAAAATAAAAAAATGTAAGTAAAATGGAAATGTATGCAGCAAGAGAAACGTGTACTAGCAGGTTTCAATTAAATAGATATTGACGGAATCCCTCGAGGATGCCAAAACCGACAAACCTGAAAATGGTGCAAGCTAGGTTTGATTGAGCCTGTTCATGGACGATACTGGACAGTGCAACTGACGGTCCACGCCCCTACCACCGGCTTCAGGAGAATTAATAAACACAAAAATGGTGATAAGGCGGCTATCATATAACATTCAAGCTGGTACGTTCGTGTCATTCCATTAAAAGCGGCGAATGATCCCCAAGTTTAAGAAAGCGGGTGAATTAAACGAGAAAACAATTGGCGCAACTAAACAAAATAGAATTTTGAAAGGGGATCATAGGTCATGAAGCTTGCATATCACAAACAAGATATATAAAGTCAAATTTTAAAAGCAGGCACCATATCTTAAGGGTGATCATGTTGTCACCCAAATTGAAAAATGCCAAACAGAAGAAACTAAAAACACCACAAACATGTGCATACAACAATTATGTCGTAAAGTTTACCATCATTTCTGAAAAGAAGAGTTACAATTGTTATTCATGTCAACAGCTGTTGGGGCTCGGCTCAGTCAATTACCAAGGAATGAAGTATTGATTATGTTAAGATTTTACGTTCGATGTTTGTTATCTCCCATTACATTCACGATTTTTAATAATCAAATTGTGACTGAAAAACATAAAAAAGGAACAAGTTTTGTGAAAAAAAATCAAGCAATAAACACCATCCTCTCATATTTTCTATATCGAAAATCTAAATAAAAAAATAAGCATCATTATCTCATATTTTCTGTATTCAAGTTCTACAAGCAAATTATAAGCACACTTTTCTCATATTTTCTTTTTCTAAATTGTACTATCAAATAGTAAACATTATTCTCACATAGTTTCTTCGGACATTAGTTCTCATGCTGATGTTCAGTTACAAAAATTCAATTGAGGAATTGGTTTCTTCTTCAACTTGTTTGATTCCTTCTTTTAGTGTCAGTGTTGCATATACGCCTTCCTTTTTAATGTTTTCCCTCCCAGTGTACTTCCCAACTACCATTGAAATTAACTGTACGTTACCTGGATTATCTTGATCGTCTGTACAAACTATTGCGCCACTATCAGATGCATTACAGAAAACCTCATTTTCCTTTCCTTCAGTGATGTTATCTTCGACAAAAATATAATTTTCCTCCATACAGCTATCTCTAACACCTTCAATATGTGACATTGTAACAGTTCCACGTCCTAATGGTGTACATGCTCCACATATTTGAACGGGAAGTCCCTTCATTTGTTCTGTGGTGTACGTTGTTAAAACGCCTTTTGCTCCTTTGTTTTCTGATGTTCTATATGTTGTGTCGTATTTAGATGTATCCTCCTTGAAGGAAATTGCAGCGATATCTAAGACATCTTTGGGTTTTATTTTATCAGCAAATGAGTTATCAATATCAACAGATGCTTCTGTTGTTTTCCCTTCAGAATGGATGAGTGCATTGGTTGCAGAACTTTCACCAATGGCAAAAACATGTCGAGACACTAACCCGATGATTTTACTTTCATTGCCACTGCGTGATTTGGCATAACCAAATCCACCTAATGTTCCACTCCTTCTGGTTTTGCCATCACCAAATATTGCTTCAGCTTTTGACCCCCACCTTACAAAATTCTTTGATATTTAACGGTTCAACGGAAAATGAAACGATATTGTGTTCCTCCAGCAGAAGGGTTTTAAGGCGAATTTTTAAATTATGCGGATCGCAATCTTTATCAACAAAAATAACTAACGTGCAACCGCGGTATCCGCAACTTCTTATGGACGAACTTTCCTTTTGAAGATCTTTTTTCAACTGAAAAACAGTAAAAGGTTTTAAAAGAATTACGTTCAGAGTAAAATGTTAAAAAACACTTCCAAATACAGGTAACATTTTCGTATATCATGTATAATAGAGTACAGCTACAGTTATAATTTGTTTCTTATAGTCTATAATGCTGATGCACATCTATTTAAATGTATGCATACAAGTATTGCTCAATAAGCATTGACTTCCAAAAGTCGTTGTTATAAACTTATTCCGGATTTAAATAAAATCGTAGTATACAACAATATAAATGTTTAGCCCAAACTTATTGAAAATGCTGTTCATATGAATAAAGGTAATGAGTTGTTTACTCTAGAAGTGTTGTTACATATGACCTTATATATTTTTGATATTCATATATAGACTACACCTTCTGGAAAGCTACCTTTGCGCTGATATGGTCCTGAAGCCGTCCCAGTTGTGGCTTTTCATTTTCTGGAATAGAACTTCGGCTAAACATTCCAATCATTTCATCAGAGAGGCGCTCTATTTTCTGAATTACTGGCAGCTCTTAAGATACATAGCATGAAATAAAGATGTATAGGTACAATCTTGCTGCATAAATCAATGTGGAGATTATACAGAACAACCGGTATTACATTAAGATTGGTACAATGCATCCATTTTGTCCTTATCATATTTTGATTAGTAAATGACTTTTCTACATGATTCTTTTATCAATGAGTTATCTTCAAGTTCTACTCACGAGGGAATTGTTCGTATACACGTTTGATTTTTCTATTTTGCTCAAAGATTAACTTTTTATGTAGTTTGTCCGTTCGTAATACTCTCAGATACATTAATGTTTCATTTGTAAGGTAGTAAGGTAACGAATATCTATCTTTCTTCCACTGGCATTGGAAGGGATGTAAAAGAAATAAGCTGATCAGTAAACGAAAACTTATTTCTGTTTAGGTTTTAATAATTACCTTCATCAAATAAACAACCCTGATCACGAGTTACCATCAACTGCTTCAAAATGTCTCCTTTCTCATCCTTTTGTTTCTGTTTTGATTTGAATAACAGTTTCTTGACTAATGTATATAGTTTCCCTCTTTCAGTACGATCTGGTAAATATATAATGCAGTTAAAGAAAAGTAAGGTTTTATTTTGAAATACATGTAATTTAAACATAACGAAGACAGTGAACATGTAGAATTAACATAAATGTAGAAAATACTCAAACAGAAAGACAAAACATATACTCTAAATAATATTTTGACTGAGACAAACCAGTCTATTATACAAAAGAGTGCGTTGACATGTTGTTTCTCAAATAAGCTATTGCAATTAAATTATACAAAGATACACTTATAATCATTTAAATAGCATACCAGAATGATTCTTCTCCATATATGATTTAGATCGCTCTAGAATAAGGTCGTTGGTTGATTCATCCGCTGAAATAAAGGTCAGCAACAACGTTTTAAGGGTTTAGAGTTCATGTATTCGCTTCCCTTTAAAATGATAAATCATGTAATGCAACAAATCAAAACGAATATGTAGCCACAATGATGACAAAAAAACAACAACAAAAAATAAGAACAACAGCAAAGTTATTTATCTGATACAAATATGTGTTTAAGATATTTTGAAGATAAACAATTGCCATATTTTATATAATTACACTTGTACAAACAAAGTTTACATACTTCTGCATATCATGTTGTCTTCTGACTTCGAACGTTGTAGGGATGACACTGGAAAAAATAAGTGTTTGTAAGTTTCAGTTAGCATATCTTTACGTTTCTCTATTCTTTACTGTCCGGAAAATGATACATTCTGACGTATCATAATAATACGATCACAAAAAATCAATATGAAATATGTTTTGCCTTTTTATCAGAAAAAAACCTCGTAAATGACTTTTATTATGTTTAAAAAATTAAAAATTGAAAAAAATTAGTAAAAAAATAAATAAAATAAAAATGAATAAATAATTTAGAAAATAAATAAATAAATTAGAATAAATACATAAATAAATAAAGTGGAAAACTACATATTGTAAAGTTATCATAAAGTAAATAAATAATTACATGTTATTACTAATAATACTTTATAATGTTTCAAAATATAGAAATAATAAATAAATAAATAAATAAAAAGATAAATAAATAAATAAGAAAATAAACATATAAATAACTAAAACTAAATAAAAAGAATAATAAATAAAAAGAATAATAAATAAATAAATAAAATTGGACAACTTCATACGGTTATCACAAAGTAAATAATTAATCACAGTCATGTAACGACATGTACTTGTAACATTTTATTCTTCATCATCTGGTTAAAACATATTTTCTTTAAAAAAAATGAATGGCGACATCAGTGTTACAAATACCTTTCTGTTTATAGTTATCGACATGAAATATGGCGTCCAATATATGCAACAGGCATTCACATCTACTTTTCATTCCTAACGCTTTGTATAAATTTGATTCCATCAATTCCATGACTGTTTTGTAAACTTGTTCTTTGGGGACAATCTGCATTCCTTTGGTGGCTTTTTGGTTCCCATCTGCATTATCTCTGCCTCTCAAGTAGATAAGCTTCACGTACTTGCCCTCAGGTAAGACATCCTCATTGATATCAGAAGCAACAATTATAACAAAAGATTTTTGGAGACATCTTTTGCGTGCAAGGTCTTTAACATTAGCGCATTTTTCTGTAATGCAATCAGGTACATCGTCTTGCTTTGTTACATTTCTGATATCAATATCTCGATCACCTTCCAAGGATTGTAGACATAGCTGGAACGTCTTTTTGTTGATGCGATCCTTGAAATGGGTCTCAATTGGGGTAGTAATCCATTTTCCTAGTTGTATCTCATTGCTAAGATGATCATACCTACTTACAAGTGGTTCCAAGTGTTTGAATGCATACTGTACCCTTGGGTAGGTAGCAAATGGAACGGTGTAAATTTTAAATTCCATTCGAATTGTTGTATGATTATTTCTCCATGTGTTGTATGATTAATGCTTCATGTTTGCGAACTATGTATATGACACAACTGTAATAAAAAGGGTTGGACAAATTATTTTTAAAGAAAGAATATATTTGTAAAATAGTATCATACAGCCCTTACATCCTCATATGGGGACGTTCCAGCTTTACTGGCGGAGAAAGATCTCAGGTGCCCTTCCGTGCATTATTTCAGGAACGAACGGGCACCTAAGTAGAACCACCGACGTTCCGTAAGCTAGCTGGATAGCTTCCTAACATGAAAGAATCCAAAGTCACTGTCGGGATTCGAACCCACAGCGGTGAGGGAGCAAGTTGTTTGAAGTCAACGACCATAACCACTCGGCCACGGACGCCCTGTTCTATAATAACTTGATTAACTTGTCAATTCGTTTTATTTAGAGGTTAATACTTGGTTTCTGCTCGCCATTATGCGATAATGGCCTGAAGATGTGCATAATGGCCTGAGGGTCGCAGACCCTAAGGACATTATGAACGCGAGTCTTTAATACCTATGCCCGAAATACGGCGTTTAGACATAGCCGCTAATCTTGGATCTCGCCCTTTCTAAGAAACGGACAGTTGTCAATGTAAACAAATATATGTCATACTGTACAGTTTAACACTCCGATTAAATAAGAAAACAAGACAACACAAAATAAATATAAGAAAATGTTGTTTTATTGTTGCTTTTATCGATAAATACTGTTCCTACTTTACATTTTTAGTGCCAGTTTTTTATGAAGTTTGTGCCTTCAAGAACGGTTTCTGAGACTTCTGGGTCCAAATGCGAACGATCCGACCTTTTCATCTAAAATCATTTTTGGAATTTCTGAGGGTCATGTATTGTCTTGAGTTTATAAATCTTCAATGATAAGCTTTGCTGGTTGTGATTTATTATGTCATTTAAACTTAAAAAAAACATTGTTTGCAAGTGACTACAGTTCATTCAACGTCAGTAGCCATCTTGAAAGTTATGAGAGTGCTTACGTCATTCTGCACGTGCGATCATTCACTCGCCCATTATGGAAAAATAAACCGAGTAGCAAGGCGGCCAAAATTGGATAATGACCTAGATCTTGCCATAATGGCCCTGGAATACCCTAGATTTTGTTACTATATATAGTAACATAGGTATTAAAGTGAAATAACGCGGTTTTTAACTTCCAAATCATTTTTAATGTGATACATCAGATCTTTAAAACAGCTAATCTATGTATTCTCTAAAATAATCGAAACGTGCGTGTCATGTTATGTTTATTTCTCGTTTAATGAAAAAAAAAATTATACAAAATAACAATTTTTCTTCAAAATTATATGTAAGGCCATGTTTTAACATGGTAAAACAAGATTTTGGGTAATTTCAGATATTTTCATCATTTTTAGTTTACCCATTACTCGATATATGCATGCCTTTTAACGCCCATTTTCTTGTCTCAAATGGTGAAAAAATGCCTTATTTAGGCCCCCAACACATGTTTATGTTTGAAAAATGACCACTTTTTCGGCGCCGCCCCCATCCAAAAGGTACATCAGGGGGTTGGTAGAAGAAGGATGTGTCCCTTCTATTTGGGGGGATTGAATGGGGGCGGCAGTCCCCTCATCGCCAAGAAAATTTTGGACTTGTAAGAGGCTAAAAATTACCCCAGGTCAATCAAAAGGTAACGTGTAACCAACGCTGAAAAGCATTTGACTCTATCTCAATCCTTGAGAAGTTGCAGCACTTATTAATTTTGGGATGCCCCCTCGTTGCCATGATAACAGGAAATTTCAGACTGAGCATGTTGTTACAAAGGCAATGGTCCAGTCAACATTTGTGCCCAATTTGATTAGTATTGAAGCAGTTTTTATAGTTTTATAGCAATTTGAACTTGTAACCGAGACTTTTCAATGACAATAGCCATTTTTCACAAAATGCTCATGCGGTAATGTGTTAACAATGCCTATAACATAAATGCAGAGTTGGGGAAGAAAAGTTGAACAGATTAAGTGTCCCGTACTTAATATTTCACACATGCATGCAGAATATCTGCCAATTTAGATATTTGATATAGTTGTAAGAGCCTCATACCGACTCGGTTATGGATAATATGCTTTTCCTTGCTTTAGTTAGTTATCATTCATATTTTTTTCTTTTTTATGAAAAACTTCTTCTTATTTTCTCTTGTGTACGTATTTTAATAACAGTAATATTAACAAAAGTAGCAAACTAGTTGATCCACGAGTCCTTACAACTTTAGCAATATGTTCTTCCTTGAATTAAAAGAATAATGAAACAGTTACAAACCAAAACTGAATAAAAGTAGAGCAGTTTTGTGCATTTGTAGTACTTGATGTACAGTGGCTAGCTACTGAAATATATGAAATACTCCGTAAAAGATTTTTTTATAAAAATCCGCAACATGATTACTACATTCGTAATACGTGCATAGTATAATGATTAACTTTGATATCCGTATAGAAAATATTTAGGAACAGCTTGATGTTTAAACATATTATTGAGACGAGATTGAAAAATATTTATTGACGCGACATCTCTTATATTATCGTCGTAATTGTTTCAGAACTAAATAAATGAAGGAAAAAAAAGGTTTTGTAAATAAGTGATAAAGCAAGCAAATAAGATAAAGATACATAAACTTATTAAATTAAATAAAGCACAAACATTGATCAAAAACATTTCAAGAAACTTACACTCAATGCTAAATACTGGTTAGTTTTTCTGGAACGGACACGTGAGTGTTCTCATGAGCTACGACACCCCTACTTAACCGTGGCTCTTTCACATTTTGCAGATCTGATCAAGTGAGAGCCATCGACACTTCCATTGTAGAGCCATAGACTAAAACAAAGTTGAACAAGATTGCATTTAAGAAAAATGCTATGCCACCGCATTAATCAACACTAAATAGTAGTGAAGGAACAGAGTTTTTGTGTTTCTGTACAATTGAAGATTGTCATAATGCATAGATCCCTGACCTATCTAATTCTTATTATCAGATAAGTGGTTAAATCTTTTGTTAATCCAATAAAAAATCAGAGTAGGAATATATCAATGTACTTGAGTCTAGTAAATTTGGTGGTGAAGGTTTTATTTCACACAGCCTAAATTTCATGACTACATCAAAGGCAAAATTTTGACCCAAGGGTTTAATTCAAAACAATCTTGATACAGGTCCACCAAACAACATTTCAAGTCAAATATCTAAGCTGCAGCTTTCTCCCATTCAGAAAACATTCTGTTTTTACTATATGTACATAATGAGAATCAATGCCCCCGAACAGGGCCAATTTTGACACCAGGGGAAAAATTTGAACAACTTTGGTAGAGGACCTATAGATTATATTATATAGCAAACATCAAAGCTCTATGCCTTGTACCTTCAGACAAAAATATTTTTTTTTACTATATGTACATAATGAAAATCAATGACCCCCGGGGCGGGGCCAATTTTGACCCCGGGGCTATAATTTAAACAATCTTGGTAGAGGTCTACCAGACAATGCATTATGCAAAATATCTAAGCTCTAGGCCTTTTTGGTCTTTACAAGAAGAATTTTAAAATTTATTCTTATAATTCCTTTTGGTTGCCATTGCAACCAGATTTCTGCATGGAATAAAATTCTTTGAACAACTTTGAAAGCCCTTCACCCAAGGATCAATCCTGGCAAAGTTTGTTTAAAATTGGACTAGTGGTTTTTCACAAGAAGATTTTTTAAGTTCACTATATAATCTATATAACACACACACACACACGCACCAACGCACACACGCACGCACACGCACACGCACACACACACACACACACACACACACACACACACAGGTGAATCGCTATATGCCACAGCATCGCAGATGCCGCGATGGCATAAAAAGGTAAACACAGCTTCTAAATATACTCTTTTAAGAAATACGAGTATACTTTTTATTTTTCAAAAAGCGAAGTATGCTATGCCACGTAGAACTGTTTCTCACTATTTTAGATAGAATGTTGATACGAACTAATGTGTTTCCCTTACGTTGACACATTTATTGTAAAATACATGTAAATGTCTGCTGATCCTAATCTCCTCTACGGCTCAACATAAAAAATATTTTACAGAGTTTTCTGAAAGATAAAATATTAAGATTTTTTCAGATGTGATCGAGCCATCGACACGGTGCTGGTACCATTGGCAAATGAAAAAGCCAACACAAACTATCAATAAGTGTCTATATTGTTAATATTCATTGATAGACTACAAGAGGATCTGAAAATTGAATGAGACAAATTATTCTTCAGTATCTACTTCGTCGCTTTATATCTCTACGAGTAAAAGTATGAACTGTACTACTTCAATACCTTCTTCATCGCTGATTCTATGTGACATTACATTCTTCGATTTTTGAAAATTCAAGCTTGTTATTTTAAAACGGATATGTTTAGAGACTGTGTTTACCTTTTTCAGCTTTGTTTTGGCCAATGGCTTTACAACGGAAGTGTCGATGGCTCTCATTTCAAAATATCACAAAATGTGAAAGAGCCAGCGTTTAGTAGGGGTGTTACAATCGAACTAAAATAAATTTTTGTATGAACTAATTTAGTTTGTCCGGTGTAACCATCGACACAAGAATAATAATAAAAAAAAATAATAATTGCGACTTGTCAGAACGAAATCAATTGAAAATGGACGTACCATTATCTCAAAAGCTTTGAAATATATATTTTGATAAAATATTTCTTATAATATCAGTTATAAAAGTGTGTTGTGATGATAATAAAACATTTTTATGCCCCCACAATGTGGGAGCATATAGCGTTGCACTTGTCCGTCCGTCCGTACGTCCCGAAATCTTGTGAACGCAACTCCTCTTAAACCGGATGGCAGATTTTGCTTAAACTTACAGGGATGAACAACCTTAATGTGTAGATGGCAGTAAAGGAAGGAATTTTTGCTGCGACCAAATTTAACAGAATTATGGCCCTTTGTTGATTTTTTCACTAGATACTATGTAGAAATTTTGTGAACGCAACTCCTCTTAAACCGGATGGCAGATTTTGCTTAAAGTTACAGGGATGAACAACCTAAATGTGTAGATGGTAGTAAAGGAAGGAATTTTTGTTGCGACCATATTTAACAGAATTATGGCCCTTTGTTGATTTTTTTCACTATATA